ACGTGGCCTGCATTGCAGAGGTATCGGGTGGAATTCAAAACCTAAGGGGAGGGAACGCTGAGGCAGGAGTCTGTAAACGGTGCTGCAGTTGAGTTGACAGTCCGGCCAAGGGGCTGTTGCATTTCTACAGCGATAGGATGGTTCATCTCCTCTTTGACACCTTCCCTGGAGTGCCCTGGCACCGGCAGGACATTGTCTGAGAGAAGCCCCTTGGAATACCTCTGTCTTGTCACCTCCTCCTGCCCCCCGTCAGCCCAAGTTGTTTTTACAAAGGTTGGTCTTCCAGCCCTAGACCTCCTCTGTACATTCCTAATCTCGTTTCCTTCCCCAGGTGTCAGTCCCGCTTCGAGACCATCCCCTGGGACCCCAACAAGCCCGTCAGCTCTGATGGGGGGCTTGAAGACCCCGACTGCAGGCTCCACGTCTGCGCCTCCGAACCCCTTGGCAAACATCCTCTCCAAAGTAGAGTTCACGCCGGAGAGCCTTCTCTCTGTGCTCTCCAAGACTCAGACCCAGGCTTCCCCAGGCTTGCAAGGTAAACCTGTAGCAGCACCCCGGGCGCGGGGGAAAGGTAGCCGTCACACGTGGCTATCCGTGTCTTTGCTGCTTGGATCTGTGGCAAGGACCAGCTGAGAGTACGCTTGTGGGAATAGACATCCACGGATGAGCTGCGGGAGATGAAAAGGAGCCCGAGGTTGCTGTGGAAATGTAGCAGCCCTGGTGGTTTCTAGAGCATGGAAACGAAGAAAGCAAAGCAGAGTACAGTTTATTATGATCATCTGATCAGAAAGCCAGGCCATCTGACTCAGTTGCTGAACAGCAAGTTAGTAGCTACAGAAGCAGCCTCAGTGCAGTGGATCTGCTCTGCTACTTTTGCTGAATGGGAGTGGAGAACAAGAAAAGTCCCTGAGAGAGATGAGCAGAACAGATCCTCTGGTGTTTCAGGTTTAGGGTGGTTTTTTTTGGTATGTGTGTGTGTGTTGGGGGGGTACGTTCACAGGGATTTGTGGAGAAATGTGACATCCGTCCCCAGGATCTGTTTGCCAGCTAGAAGGCTGATGCTTTTTAGAAATAGTTACTTTTGCCTGTAATGAACTGTGGTTTTTCCCCTTTTAGGTTTATCTTCATTTCTTCAAAGCGTTGCTGGAAATACATCCCAGCCCAGCGAGGTGGTGGCATCCCAGAGTACTTCTCCATCCCCGGCCAACACATCCATTCCCCCCACAAAGGGGCGGAACGTTTCTTCCAGCGCCCAGTCTTTCATGCCCCAAAGTTTTGGTTACTCTCCGAATTCCTCCTCTTCTGCCGAGGTTTCTTCCACTTCGGTCAACAAGATCCCTGCTGGACTTAACGCCGGGCTCTCTGGTGCCAGCTTCAAGCCGCCCACCAATTCCCTGGAGTTCCCCAACTCCCAGGCAGAGAATTCTGTTCTTCGGCCAGCTGAGAACCCAACCAGCCAGTCTTCGGAGATCTCGGAGACCAAGCCGGAGTCTGAGCCAGCTTCTCCCAGTCTGGAAATGAAGATTCACAATTTTCTGAAGGGGAACCCTGGTTTCAGTGGCTTAAACCTGAACATCCCCATTCTGAGCAGTTTGGGATCTAGCATGCCTCCCGAGGGCCATTCCTCCTCGTCAGATTTCAACCGTGGGCCCACCAGCACATCCGTGGACAGCATCGACGGGACCCCTGTCCGGGACGAACGGAGTGGGACCCCTACTCAAGATGAGATGATGGACAAGCCCTCCTCCAGCAACGTGGACACGGTGTCTCTGCTCTCGAAGATCATCAGCCCTGGCTCTTCAACTCCAAGCAGTACGAGATCACCCCTTCAGAGCCGGGATGACGGCTACCCACAGGAGCTGTCTAATTCAGTGTTCCGGTCCTTTGGGCTCAGTCGGGATTCCCCATCGGGCATGTACAAGCCGCCCTCCGACGCTCTGGAGCTGCCTTCCTCTCTAATCGGCTCCCCTCAGGAGAAGTTCTACCCGGACACTTCCTTCCAAGAGGATGAGGACTACCGCGATTTTGACTACTCGGGCCCACCTCCATCCGCTTTGGTCAACTTGGAGAAGCAGCCGTCAAAGTCCATCCTGAAATCCAGGAAGCTGTCAGACCCTTCAGAGTACCAAACGGTCATGTCGAGTTATGGCCAGCAAGTCTCAGGCTTCGGCCTGAAGTCCCCTTTCCCCCAGTCCATGAGGTCTCTCCAGGACCAGGGGGAGCGCTGCGATCCCTTGTCCTCTCCTGGGATATATGGCTCCTACAGCTTGCGGGGAAACGACTCTGGCTCAGATGCATCCCCCACCCCGAGCAAGAACGACCTGTTTTTCCCACCCGATTCCAATCACAACAGCCTCTCCAAGCCCGCCCCCCTCCCGGGCGTCTCGCAGAAGCAGTATCCTGATTCACCTCATCTGGTTCCCCACCGGTCGCATTTCCCTCCCCAGAACGCCCACGTGAGCCCCGCCGGCAGGCTCCCTGCCTCCAACGCCGAGAAGCCGGCCGGGCCTTCCATTTCCACCACTTCAACCATCGAGTTCAAGAACATGCTGAAAAATGCTTCGCGCAAGCCCTCCGAGGAGAACAAGCACTTCGGCCAGGCCACCAAAGGAGGCTGCGGCGAGGGGCCCGGGGGCCTCTCCAGCCTCGGCCAGGTGGGGATCTCAGCGGGAGGCAACCAGCAGAATCAGCAGGAGGAGCATTACCGCATCGAGACCCGGGTGTCTTCCTCCTGTTTAGACCTGCCTGACAGCACTGAAGAGAAGGGGGCCCCCATAGAGACCCTCGGCTACCACCACGCCTCCAGCCGGGGCATGTCTGGCGAGCCCATCCAGACTGTCGAGTCCATCCGCGTGCTGGGGAAAGGGAACCGGGGCCACGGACGGGATGCCAACCGAGCAGGGGGATGGTTCGAGTTGAGTGGCGCCGGGAGCACCTTTGATAATGGCCCTTCGAGCGCTACAGACATGCCCACCATGGGCACTGGGACTGGCGGTGGCGGCGGCGGCAATGTTTCAGGCTTCCCATACAAGGAGCGGGTGCCCCCCTTCCAGGAGAACGTCAACAACTTCAGACCCGGTAGCTTCGGGGCCACCTTCGACCGCCACGTCCCGCCGCCTCCCTTAGAGCACGGGGCTCCCTTCCCGAGGGACCAAATCAGGCCCCCTCCCCTGGGGCCTCAGTCTCTTCCGCCGAAGGACCTCAGCACCCTTTTCCCTAGGGACCACTCGGTTCCCCCTCCCCGGCTGCCCTCGGCGGATCGTGCCAACCCTTTCTCCAAGGAGACCTCCACCCCGCTGACCTTGCCCCACGGCGTCCCGCCTCCCCCGCCCCCTTCTTTAGAGCGCAGTGGGGTGCCTTTCCCCACCCAGCCGCCCCCTCCTCTCCCCGTGGAACACGGCAGCGTCCCTTTCTCTAGCCCCCCGCCCCCTTCCGGGGATCTCAGCCGCCCGTTCCCCGCTCCCCCCCTTGCTGAACACGGGGCCGTCCTGCACCAAGGAACACTGAAGGAGCATTTTAATGTGCCGTCGGGAGGGCCTCGGGACCAGCTGGCCCAACCCCTGCGCGACCACGGCGCCCAGGCCCTGGGCCGGGCTCGAGAGGGCGTCGGCCTCGTGGCCCTGCCAAGGGATCCTCTAGGGCCAGCCCTTAACATCGGCTCCTCTGTCCCCACCCACAGAGACATCGCAAGCCCCGGCGGGCTGGGAGTTAGGAACCAGAGGCCCGATTTCCGGCCCCGGGAGCTGTTTCTAAACAGGGACCCCTTTAGTGGTTTAAAAAGGCCTCGGCCCCCATTCGCCCGGGGAGGCCCTCCCTTCTTCTCACCAAAACGCCCCTTCTTCCCTCCCAGGTACTGAACAAATGAAAGTGCTCCAGAACTCTGCTAGAGAGCAGCGGAAATGGCCCTTTTGCTTTTTTTCGTTTTACTGTTATTCCCTCTCCCCCCCCCCCC